CAGTGATCAAAACTCTGGCAACCATTAATATTTATTTTTTTAAAAAAATAAAAGTGAGGGGTATTATTGTAATCTTACTCTTAATTTTAATTTCAGCTTAGTCCCTTTGTCCTACAGTGATATTTCAGAATGTTTTGGGGGCTGACTGATATAAATTGTCAACTGCGGTCCTTAAATGAAATTTTCCCTATTTTTATTGTTTGGGTGATGATCTGGTTTTCACTTTGTCCGTGAAAGAAAGAGTTATGGACTTTCCATGTATCTACAAAGGATGAATCCTGATCTGTTTTTCTAATTTTTTGAGAGAATTTGACTAATGTTTTTTTTCCAGGAGACATAACTGGTGCAAGCAAGTTGAAAGGTGCAATTCATTACAGTTACATGGATTTGAAGTACGCAACTAGAAATTTTAATGTAGAAAATAAACTTGGAGAAGGAGGATTTGGTGCAGTATATAAGGTAGCTATATCTTTTGATTATTAATATTTTCATCTAGATCATGTTCCCCAAGTAAGGATTTTCCTGTGTGAGTTTTATGTAGTGTTGTAAAAACTTGTATTTATACGCAAGGAAAATTAAAGGGACCACATATAACACTTTTAGGGAAATTCTTAATCATCATGAACAGGGGACTCTGAAGAATGGGAAAGTAGCTGCAATCAAAAAGTTAACTTTACGTCATTCCAATAAAGTGGAGGGAGAATTTGAGAGTGAAGTGAAGCTTATAAACAATGTTCATCATCGAAGTCTTGTTCCACTTCTTGGATATTGCAGTAAGGGTGATGAGAGAGTTCTTGTTTATGAATACATGAAAAATAACAGCCTTGACAAATTCTTATTTGATAAACTCCTGTGAACCTACCAAAATTGATGTCCTGTTCTTTAAGTACAAGCTGCTCGATGTCTTCATAATATTAAGACATGTGGATATATTTTCATTTTCGTATAATTGACTCTTCTAACAAGCTTATTCCCAGATGAGATTAAAAATTATTGAAGCATTTAGTAAAAGTCTATAGGTATTTCCTCTAGAAACATCTAGAGGATCATTTTTAATTCTTTCTTTGCCATGAGTAAATTTGTTAACAGGTAAAATGAAAGGTTCTCTTGGTTGTAAGCTAAGCAAGGATATAATATAATTTTAGGCACTGTAAGGGGTTTGGCCTATCTACGTAAAGAATTTCACATCCGTATTATACAGAGATATAAAGTCCAATAACATCCTCTTAGATGATCATCTTCAACCTAAAATTGCTGACTTTGGGTTGGCAAGAATCTCACAAATATCATTTTAGCACGAAATTTGTAGGAAAATTGTAAGTTGAAATAATTATATTTAGCTAATTTTTTTTTACTTTAATCACAATATATGCATGCAGCAGATAAAATATATGTTTAGGTAAACACAACACTCCTATCACATAGATAAATGATTTTAACATTTTTCTTCTTTTTTCCTGTAATTAAAACGTCGATACTACATGAAAGAGTTTGGTGACATATGGGATAAGAGAAAAATTATGGTTTAATTATATTTTTAAAATATTTGGATTATTTGGACCTATCATCATTTTAGGATTTATTTATTTTTATCAGTATTTTAGTTTTCTTATTATTATTAGGATTAGTTGTTATTATTATTTTTCTTCTTCTTATTATCATCATCTCATTATAAGTAGTTCTAGGGTTTTCATTTTACGGAGACTTAAGACTTTGGATTGAAATTTCAGAATGCAATTATTTTCTCTCTGGCGTCCCTTCTCTGCTTCCCTTTTCTCCTTAATTTCTTTCTTTTTCTATATTGTTTTACATCAGAATTCATATCTATGTTCCACATGACATAGTATTATGTTTGTTCCATCTATTTCCGATATTGTTGCCTTGAAATTTATATGGTTGTGTTTGTGTTCTTAATTATAACATGATGAATTATGTCGTAAATACTATTTGTTAGAGGATATGCAGCACCGAAATATGCAATAAATGAATAATTATCTGAGAAGGTTGATATCTAGAGTTATGGAGTTGTAGTTCTAGAGATTGTCAGTGGTCAAAAAAGTAAAAAATTGAATGTTAATGGTGAGGCCGAAGGTGAATTCCTCCTTCAAAAGGTAAAAAGATTTATATAAGCATTTAAAAATACTATTTTTGAAGGAGGTTTTGACGTGGAAATTCATTTAGGGTGTGTTTGGATGAAACCAAACCGTGGTTTGGAAAAGTGATTCTGGAGAATAGATTCTGTGAAGAATAGATTCTGGAGTGATTTTGAAAAGTGAGAGTGTTTGGATAGTTGTTATCAGAAGCACTTTTTATATACACAAATTACTAAAAAAAAAGACATAAGTTAATATGATAATTACAGAAAAATAGATTTTATGATATATTTTAATTTGAAGGAATAAAATTATTAATAATATATTTTTTACCAACATAATTAATAATACATAAGATAATATAATTAATATGTATATATATTTATAAAATATAAGATTAAATATGTTTATAAAAAAATATGTTTATAAAAAAAATAACAAGATACATATCCTATAGGCTCTCACACTCTCCCTCTTTTCTCCAAAAGCAAAATTTTTTTGCTTTTTTCAAAACCATGGTTTTGGAGTCAAAACCATGGTTTTGACCCAAAACCATGGTTTGGTTTTTGGGATGACTGTTTGGGTAGTTTTTTACCCAAACCATGGTTTGGATCCCCAAACCATGGTTTGGGCAAACATCCAAACGGTGCCTTAGTAAATCAACACATATACTGCTTTTGGGTTAGACCTTTTGAAATAGGTATTTTTTCTTTAATAACTGAGATTGGATTGCTTTGCACCCAAGCATCAGCGACAATACGGCCGACAATGTCCGAAGTGGTTGCCTTGCTCCAAGACAAATATTTCTCTGGTCCTTAATATAAGACTTATTTACCTAAATTGGTTAGATTAAGAAAGTTAGTTAAGTTAGTTAATTATAAGAAATATGACATGTTTTTCCTAATATACCATAATTATCTTCCTTAATATCCTTTCTTTCTCTTCTACTTGATTATGGTTGAGAAAATATCTATAGGGATAATTAGGAAAAACTGATAAATATAAGAAATAGGTCTTACATTTAGAACTAAAATTAACTCAATAATTAAGTCTTATATTGATGACTAGAGGAGTATTTGTTTGAAAATATGAGACCAACTATGCCTTTCTTCGTTGAAACTAAATAAGGGCTCATGAAACGAGCTATTACTTCTCCATGATTATGGGGGCGTTTGGCTGGAGAATAAAAGTAAATTTATGGAATATAAAGTAAATATGGAAGAGAAATTTTGTCTTGATTTGTATAAAAGCAATTTTTAAAAGTATTTTTTGAATTATATTGTCAGAAAAATACTTGTTTGTATGTTTTGAAGTTTTGAGTGTTGAGACCCACAGAACGGAATACGAACTAACATCAAACAAGAAGGAGAATGCTTGTCCTACATTCCATTATTATATTCTTCAATATGTGTTTGTAATCATATATGAATCCGTAAAAATTATATGTCAATTGATAATTTTAGTGTACAATTTCGAGTAAACTACATTAATCTAACTTAACGTTTTGGTTAATGTACATATGACAACCTCTTCTTTTTTTTCCTTCCAAATCCAATTTTATTTTAAATGATGATATGAATGTTAATTTTTCTACAATACACGACTTTGCGAGCGAGGTTATTTATTCGTCTTTATAGTCATGTTAAGAGTGAAATAACCGTATCATATCGGAGTTTAATAACAAGTTAATTGCCTAATTCTTAGTGTCAAGAAAATATACTAACAAGATGCACTATTCATAAGTTGTGAAAACATGGATTATTTTTTAAATTTTGTATAATTATTTACTTAAAACGAAGTTTAGTTTTGATATGCAGGTGGTGCATTTAAAAAATTCGTGATAATCTTTTTAGAACCTACTTGCTCTTTGCCACCTGGATTTTCATTATGGGCTGGATTTAAAGTCAGTGATGGTTTATTTTCTGTTTTGAACCATGGGTATTCAGAGCAGATAACGATGGAGAAGACTTTCTGAAACAGTATTAGTACTGATCATGACACACCACCAGTAAAATGTTAATGATAACTTTTTGCTAGTCGGTGTTGGAAATTTTCAAGTCTTGTCGCCTTTTTTGAAAAGGCCGTGTGGCCTAAGTTCAAACCCAAGCTCCGCAAGGCAAGGTGGCACAAAATCTATACACGCGTCGGTCAAAAACCTTTGATAAATTGCTTGGCCACCCCCACACAAATTGCTGTTGCGTCCTTCAAGACTGTTTAAATTTAAGAAACATGTTGAAAAACAGCTCTTTCCCACTGATATTAAGGGGGTGTTTAGATAAACCCAAACCATGGTTTGGAGAATAATTTCTGGAAAATAAATTCTGGGAAGAATAGATTTTGAAAGAATAGATTTTCTGAAAAAGTGATTCTAATAAAGTGAAAGTGTTTGGATAGTTGTTGTCAGAAGTACTTTTTTATATGTAGAAATTACTAAAAAGAACATAAGTTTAAATGATAATTACATATAAAATATATTTCATAATATATGTTAATTTGAAATAATAAATTTGTTAATAATATATATTTTGGTAACACAATAAATAAGACATAAATAATACAAATAATTAATAATTAATGTGTGTATATATGTTTATAAAATAATTAAATATGTTTATAGAAAAATTATTTATTTTGCCAATAAAAGATATTATGATTTCTTAAAAATTTTAAACATGAAATACCAAAAATTTTTTAACCGTTGGGAGCTACTGGGGAGTAATTATTATTACTCCAATAACATTTTTTATTGCTTAGAAGCTAGTGTTAGGTAGCTTATTTTAAAACTATGATTTCCATGGCCAAAACCTTGGTTTTGTCTGAAACCATGTTTCAAAAAAAGAGCAGGTGTTTTGCTGATTTTTTCCCAAACCATGAACACGAACCCTCTTCGGAGTGCGAATCAGTCCCAACAAAAAGATGCTTCAACGTCCTAATAATCTCTTTCTTCTCCTGGTGACCTTCTTCGTATTCTGGTCAGGCTGGACTCTAAACGGCGTCGTTTCAGACCCAGAGACCATTCTTCTGAACAGTGGATGCAGCCCGTTCTATGAATACGTCCTGTCCAACTTCTCGACGTTCAACGAAAACCTCAACACAACGTTTAGAGAAATCCGAGGGCAGATCGTGACTCAGAACGAGTACTTCGCGACGGCGCAGCAAGGGGGCGGAAATAACCCAGTTTCCACTCTTTTTCAGTGCAGAAATTACCTCTCCATCCCCGACTGTGCCGCCTGCTTCGACTTCGCTTCTGTTCAGATCCGCAACTGCTCCGGCGGAGCACACGCTGCCCGTGTCGTCTACGACGGCTGTTTCCTCAGGTACAAGATCAGACTAACCCACCTGATTCAATTTTGACTTCCCTCTTGAAACAGTGCAGGCTTAGGCCTTGGATATAAGATGTTTATTGCGTGATCATCGAGTAGTTTGTGACTGTGTTGTGAGGTTTACGACCGTGTTTTCTTTTTGGTTTTGTCTCTATTTGCATTGATTAATTAAACAGTAAAGACAAAGGAGAAATAAAACTTTGGTTAAGTATGATTACTTAAAATAGATGATAATATGAAATTAAAGTTTAATAACAATAGATTTAGAGGGGATCTCCAAAAAAAAAAAAATCATTGAATTTCAAAATTTCAAATCATTCTTATTTACTATAATTTAATAATAATTGACAACATTTAAAATTTTAGAAGTATGTTTTTGGGGATTTTTTTCCCATAGATTTACATATTTCTCATTTTAATGATACGGTATTAATTTGATTCATTAAATTTCTTAAAAATTTATTTACATATTTTTTTAGCGTTGGTAAACATTTCATATGAAAAAATTTATAACTTGCAAGGTTTTATTGATATAATTGATGAAATAAAAAGTTGATGATTTCTCAGGTAAATAATTTAATAGACAAGATTTAACAAATCATAATCAACAAGTTGTCAAATTTATCACCACACACGTCACACACGCAATACACACGCAATAAGTGAGTATAAATGCTCAACTGCCATTAGATCCCCTCTGCTGGCGGGTCCATGTTACCTAAATCAGTCTATAAATAATTCAATCTAGAAATATCAATTTAAGTCAAACAATTTTAATAATTAATGTTTTGATAAAAGCACAAGGAGAAGATTAAAGATAACAAAAGGAAGACTAGAAAGAGAAAACTATTAAGAATAAGAAAGTAGGAGCAGGACACAATTCAAAATGGCTTATGAGTTCGGGAAGCGGGTTAATTAGAATACCAGACGCTGGCAAGACAAGACATAAATTTGGTTAGAATTATAGAAAGCTTTATATGAATTGTGAGTTAGAGTCTTATTCCTTGAATAAATTTATGGATAATTTATTACCTATTAGAGACAAATGTATAAAACCTAAATTTACACTCTGCTTATTACCAAAATCATAGCTCCTATATTTAAACAAATGTACCACATCAAGTAGGTCAATAACTAATCAATGCAATTTTATAGTGATATTGGAAAGATGATTTGGTATTACTTTGTGGTATGCTAAGGCATGAGACGAGTGCCTTCTTTGACATATTTTGAATTTGAATTTGGATATTCAAATATATCTTTAACTTATAATATTATGATTTCTTGAATTCAAATCAGAATCAATCATAATTAATTCTATATATATATATCTAATATATATAATTTATACAATATAAATTAATTAAATTTATATCGTAACTAATTGGATTTGATTCAAGATTGAAATAATGCCCTTAATTTGTCGCCTTAGGATTACTCCAAAAATTAATTGAATTAATACAATATAGTGCACAATCCGGATCGTATTCATTGTTAGGAGCCGAAAACGAAATCAAATCCTAGTAAATAAATACACGTAACCTAAACTATAAAAAGGATTTTTATTTTGGTGAATTGCTAACTAAATGTCATGAATTGAATTGAAATTAAAATATTTTTTTTTTGTTTTTTTGTTTTTATATGAAATTGATTAAAATGAATGATGGTGAAAGAGATGAAAATGACACACACGAATAAACAATAATAATAATCAATCATCCAACTTAACAGCATAGGCAATCCTCACTCCAATAGATGTGGAAGTTAAAATAATAAATTAAGAATTATAATTAAGTGTTTAATCCAACAACTGGGTCACATCGAATTGCCACAAAATATTTTTCAAAATCCTAAATTACTAATTGCAATCAGAATAGTAAAATAGAATTAAAGATGCTAAAAACTAATGTTTAATTAAACTCTTAAATCCAAAACAACAGAATTAAAGCTAGCAAGAGACATTACAATCCAAGATTCCAATCTACCTCAAAAAATCACAATATATTAACTCCGAAGTCAATGTAAATGTCATAACCACAACATTATAATTAAAATTAAAGCTATAAATAGCCCAATGTCAAATGTTAAATAGTAATCCAGCCATAATAATCTCCAAATATAATCAGCTTAAACAATACAAATTTTTCAATAATCAAAATAACTATCCTAAGACCTAAGAATTGTTTAACAATTATTGGACCAGAAATTAAAGTAACTAAAAACTCCCCTATCCGAACTTCTGTTATTGTTACTGGATTAGAGAATTGTGAAACTCTAGCCACGATTTGCATGAAAAACGCTGCTACAGCAATCTTCCACATCGAAGATGATGATGAAATTTGATGGGGAATCAAACAGAGTTCGCTGGCGGTGATTCTCTATGCCACCTCTGGTCCTTCATTCTGTTTCGTCGAGAAGAAGAAGAAGATTAACGCGATGGTGATGTTGGATTTCGGTGAATATGGAAGATGATGATTCGAAGTGAAGAAACATAATCTGGAGGTATGATCGCTGTCAAGCTCTGGTCCTTCACTCTCAGTCGCCTCTCTCTCCTTTGTTCTCCCTCTCTTCTCTGCCGGCGAGCTTCTCTCTTCTTCGTTTGCTGTTTCGCCCTCGCTGATTCTCTCTACCACCAGAAAGATTCAACGGAGACGCATATTGGTGTAGACAGATCAAGCTTCTCTCGCCTGCCTCTGTCGCAATCCTGTTCGCTCCTTCTGCCGTCGCTCTCTGGTCTCCCTTTTCCTTTGGTTCTGTCACACCGAGAAGAAGAAGATGAAATCGATGGTGATGATGGTGATGAATCGATTCGGATTGATGGAGAAAAGGAATTGGCCGAACATGGGTGAAGGAATTTGGTGAGAATGAAGAGATGGAGGGAGGTGTTGATGAAGACGAAGAATTGCTGGTTTTTGGATTGATGGAAGAGGAAGGTTTTTGGCGAGAGTGGTAATGGAAGGATATGGGAGAAGTTTTTTGGCCGCCTCCCTGATTCCTCGTCTCTTTTCAGTCAAGCATGGAATAGGAATGGAGGTACAAAACTAAAGCCTTGTTTGGCTAGGGGAAATAAGAGATAGGTTTAGGGTTAGCTAAAAGAGTGTTTGGGATAAGTGTAGGTAAAATAGAAAGAAATTAAAATCTTTATGGCATAGAAAATCTATGAAATTTTGGTTTTCTTGGAAAATCTTTTCTTCCCCAACACAAAGTGATTCAACTTGCCCAAGTTCCTAATTATCACCTGAAAAATAATTCAACTAAATGCAATATCATATAATCCTCAGGACACAAATAGTTAGGAATTACAAATCACATAATTATTACCAATTAATAGCAATTAAGCATATAATTCCTAAAATGTCATAAGCATTCAATTAAACCAAATAATCATGATTTAAGCCATAAAAATGTCCTAAAACCCATAAAATAAATCATGAAAATACATTAAAAAAAAGGATTTGTCAATTTCTCCACATTCAGCCTTTTGCACTCCTGGGCAAAATATCAGCAAAGAAGAATCCAACAGAGAGACTCAATGCAAGCAAACATAAAATTGACTAAGCATGAATGTGCAATTAAGTCAAGCAACCTTTATTCCTAATCAATCAATAATCATAGAATACTTCATGCAAAGAAATTAATACAAGAAACATAGCAGGATAAAGGAAGAGAAACATAATAGAGCTCAAATAGAGTATAAGTGTTTTACTCATCTCTCAAATAGGAAAAATTTCACTCAATCCACCTAGATTAGCACTTACCATAAGCTTGTAGAGATTCTAATGTCTCCACCACTAACATATCTTAGACTTATGATCAAGGGGATTTGAAGGGTTGTAATGTTGGAAAGCAAGGCAAAGTAAATGAAATGAACTAACAAGTGAAATGCATGAGTAATGAAGTATCAACTCAGAATGAGCTAAAGTACAATTATGAAGGACACCAATATGCAGATTTTAAACTTTTGAAACAGAAATCTTTGCTCTTTAAACCACCATTAAAATGCCTTATTTCAAATTTTATTTTTTTGTTGCAACTTATTTTCTTTTTCTATGACTTTCTTTCTTTGGCTTTTTTTTTTATACATTTTCTTCTCTTTATTGCCTTTTTCTATTTCTTTTTTTTCCTTTTTTGTTTTTCTTTTAATATTGGCATCCAAATCCAAGAAGGTAAAGATATAGGCATTAATGATGTACTTTTTAAAGTGAAAAACCAAGTGCAACTCATGCAAAACACTTGCTAAAAAACAATGAATAGAATGAAAGTGAAGGCTCAAAGAAGTGAACAAGGGTTAAATGAAGTACCTTGTGTTTAGATAAAGGGTTTAAAAATGAATGCCTCTATCATCCTCACAAATCTAGGTATTAATGTAGCTTTGAAAAAGAATCTAGACAAATTCTAGACGTTAACCAAAAGTAGGTAAAAATCACACAAGATGAGAAAAATACACGGCTCAAAAATCCTTCCACTAAGGCTTTTCCCAAGATGTTTCCTCCTTAAGGATCAAACTATGAAACAAAGTTAATAACACTGCACCAAAGGCATTCTACTATGCTAACTGGCAAAGAACAGAAATTACTCAAATTAAATGCAATTAAATTCAGCCATGCAACATTCACAAGCATTGTGCAAAAGGATTTAAAAAAGGGATGTCCAAGGATTACAAAAGTCAAGTCAGCAGCAGAGAGAACAGCAGTGCAGAACACTGAGGCGAGTGAAAACAAGAGGACACAGAAAGCAACAGTGAAATTCCCAAGTAAGAATCAATCTCAAATCATGCGATACAATTCAAAAATCAACTAATGAGGCAAAGAAGAGAGCAATTACAACAGCAATACTTAGCAAATAAGAGCAAATCCAAAGGCAAGTTTTGTTTTTTGTTTTTAAATAAGCTCAACTAAAAAACGATCCCTCCCCCACACTTAAATTTTGCATTGTCCTTAGTTTAAAACCCAAGGGCAAGGTAATGACAAGAGAAAAAGAGGCTCAATAGGGGAGTAAACAAAAATAAGGCTACATTTTCTACTAGACCAGCTCCCCCAGACTTATCTTTTTTAATAATTCAATTAAGCATAATTAATCAATGCAAAGTTAGCAGAAAATAAGTGAGGAAAAAGACAACCTTACTCTTAAAGCACCTCAGACTCTTCAAAGAGAAATTCTCATCAATAATGAGAAACATGAAGTTTAGAAAAAAAGATTGCTCTTGATGATTGTACTTTCTTGGTGGTGGCTCAGGGTCAATTGAAAGAGGCACAAAAGCATATAGTGGAGTTTGGTGCCGAGAAGGTCCCTTCTAATTATGCGCCTACACAGAAAATAAGCCAGCATCAGTACCAAATCTAATAATAGAGATGTGAACACCTAATTTTATCCGAGTCCCACAAAATTACTAAATTAAAGAAAAATAAAAATAAAGGATTAATATCCTACTTGATTCTTTCTTAGAGGTTAAGTTTGAGAAGTCCACCATATGGCAAATCCAAAAAGGAAAATATCTCTCTTACAATAAATGGCAATAAAATAAAAGATAAGAATTAAAAGCCAATTTAGCAAATGTAAGGTGGACACATTAAGGAGAGAAATAAGAAAAATCAGAAAATACAAATAAAGATTTCTCATTTAAGATGATTAGCTCCCCAATTTAGGAATATATTTTGGAGTTATGATAGTAAGAAAAAACAAAAATTGAAATAAGAAATCATAATTTGATGATAATTTGGTGCTCAAATAGGAAGTTGCATTATGAGTCACAATTAATGAAATTTAAAAAATCAAAATTAGAGAAAAATTAGAAAAAACCTAAGTGGAGCCTATAAATAGGAGAGTAAGGGTTACAGGATCTAGGTCAGAATTTCCCAGTAAAGAAAGGAGGCAAGGTAGAGTGCTCTTCTATCATCTTATTTCATTGCAATAAGTTGTTTTGGAGAGAAAGAGAGAAGACCTAACTAAAAAAGAAGTCCTTTTTCCATCTTCTTCTTTCTTCTACCCAAGGAAAGTCTACGCTCTTGTCATTGTTATCACTTTTATAAGCTGGAGTAGTGATGGCTAGAGGGTTGGATCTAACATCATTTTAGTTAATCCTTACTACTCCCCTTTCTTTTTGGATTTATTCAAAATATGTCTTTATCTATTTATTCCCACATGTACTCATTTCAATATCCACTTTTTTTTTTTCTTTTTTAAATTTTCATTTTATTTTATTTATTCTATGTTTGGTTCATGCC